AGAGTTTGTTTTATGGTTTGCCTCTCTATCTGCAGTGTTCATCTATTTTACTTCTTAAATTCCACGAATGAGTGAGATCATATGGTATTTCACTTAGCATAATACCCTCTAGCTCCATCCAGTTTCAAATGGCCAAGATTTCATTCTTTCAACGGCTGAGTAATACCTCGATCATCTACCTATCTCACAACTTCCTTATCCATTCATCAGTTTTTAAAATGTGGGTTGTTTATATTACCTATGAACTTCTAAGTCACGATCTATGAATTTCAGGACAGGAGAATAAAGCGGTCACTAGGAAATAGTTGTTACAAAAAGGCGTCCTTATGTGTGACAGCCTGTGATAGATCCACAGGCCAGGGCCGGAAACTCCCAAATCCGGTTGCACCTGCAGCTTTACTAAAATACAGATCCCCAGCGCCATCCCCGGGGGTGAATCCAGCGCTCCCCTCTGGTGCTTCCCCAGCCCACCTAGAGGGATAATGGCCCTGCGGCCGGGACCCACAGGAGAAGGGCGCGGGGCACAGGAGTCCGGGTTACTGAGACTCGGGCTGCGGGGCGGGGCCAGAACACCAACAAGAGGGAGCAGCGCTGCTCCTAGAGAGACTCGGCCGCGGCCTGGTGACGCACTTCCGACTGCGCGGTGGTGCAGCCGGTGGCGGAGGTGAGTGTGGAGCTGGGGACGGCGGGGGCGGTGCCCTGGCGGGTAACTGTGGGTGCGGTGGGGATGCGCCTCCGGTTCCTGGAGGAGGGGGTAGGGCGGTGGTCCGCGGTCAGACTGCGCCCGTCCTAGATTCCCGTTTTGGACTTGGTGACCGAATTGGAAGGCGAAGCGTGGATTCCTGTCACAGCCACGAAGCCCCGCACTCTCTTCGGGGAAGATGCCACTGACTTTTCGGGAAGATGTGTCGGAGCAGCCAGGGGGTGGAATATTTGCAGGGGTGAAGTGGATTGTGATATCGCGAGTCTTTTGACATGTTGAAGTCGTACAGGGGCTCTTATCTATATGCATTTCAAGTATGGACCGTGTGCCCCCTGACTTCTAACACAGGGTCGTGAATCAGGGCTCAGTGAGAGCACAGAAAAAGCAGAGCCCCTCCCAGTCACCCGGGAGTAGAAGTAGCCCGGCTTTTGGAGAGCACTGTCTTCTGGAGCTGGCAGTTCCAAAAGGTAACTTCGCCCTCGTCTCGGGCTGTTGGGATGACAATGACTTGGGGATGATTTCTACATTGTAATCACTTATTTGCTCAATTCTAGAATACACATAAAATAGTTCCAGAATTGCTCATTCATACCGTCATGAAAATTATACGAAAATTATACTATACTAAAATAATAAAATAGTTAAAACATGAAATATTAAAAAAAAAAACCTCTCTGGAATGTGGCTGATCGTGTATTCAGAGGAAAATTTACAGCCTTACAGGTTTTAATTGCCAGCTAGGAAAAGAATGAAATAATAAATCCTGCATCCTCAAGAAGCATTTGGGCAGAGGTCGTTTTAACCTTATAGTACCTAGTTAAAATACTGCTTTCCAAAGTTATTTAGTTCTTTTCTTTCCCACCACTTCAGTGTGGTTATGTTATTCAATTGTAGTATAGGTAAGCTCATTTGATGTTTTTTGTATTCCTTTTTGGGTTGTCACCCCCATCCCATCCTGGTTGGTTGATTTAATATATGTGTATTTATTTATTTGGATATGTGAAACATGGTTATGTAAGTCAGAACAAAAAGGCAAACTCAGAAGCGTCGCTACCCTCCTCATCTCTTCTACGCTATTTCCTTTCATTCTCTTTTCCGTCCCAGGCTCCTTTCATTTCCTACCCATATTTGAGGCAACCATTCTCCTTAGTTTCTGATTTATCCTTCTATTTCTTTCTTGTACAAATGACCAGATACACACATATTTTCTTATACTCCTATTCTTTTGTACGCAAGAGGTAGCACATTGCCTTTTGCACTTCACTTGTTTCATTTGACAGTATATTCTGGAAATCACTCCAAATCATAGAGATAAGTATGTTTTTTTAAATGTTATTCTTGCATACTGAAGACTGCATCTAGCATGGCATTTAAGAAGCGTAGTAGTAAGATGAGTACCCATGAACGCACCACCCCACTAAGGAGGAGAACATTTCCAGTACTGCTTCTCATCCCAGCTCCCAGCTCCCCACCCCTCTAGAGGTAACAACTATCTTGAATTCTGCATTAATCATAGTCTTACCTACTTATAAAAATAATTTTACCTCATAAAATATGTCTGTAAACAATATGTTTAATTTCATTTTTGAGCTTTATGCAAATGGCATTGTAGTGTCTGTAGTCATCTGGGACTTGTATGACTCAATATTATGTTCCTAAAGTCATCTGTGTAGTTGTGTGTAATTGTGAGCCATTAATTTTTGCTGCTGGATAATATTCCTTTTTAAAAATGATAGGACAATTTGTTTATGTATTCTTAATGGATATGTGGGTTGTTTCCAGTTTTTTGTATTCAGATACTGATAATGAATAATTTTGTACATATTTTCTACATATGAGGGTTTCTGTAAGGCATAAATTTTAAAATGTAAGCATGAGTATTGAATTTTAGCTCAGATGCCTTTGGCATCTGTTGGGATGGAGAGTGTGTTTATCTTTCTTTGATCTATTCATGTGGAAGAGTATACTAATCTGCATTATAATGTTAAGCTTTACTTGCATTCGTGGGATGATCCCTTTTAGTCATGGTATGTCACTTTAATGAACTGTTGGAGTCAATTCCTTTATATTGGGGATTTTTCTGTCAGTATTCATAAAGGAGGCTGGTCTGTGGTTTTTGTATCAGTGTTGTGCTGGCATCATAAAAAGGACCAGGAAACTTATTTTGCTCTTCTCTCCTACAGTTTCAGTATTGTTACAATTATTCATTTCTTAAAGACTTGAAAAGATTTGTCCGTGATACATACAGGCACAGTGTTTTGTGAGAGTTTGCTCTTTACTGGCTATCTCAGTTTAATTAGGTAAAAGTAATCATGGATTCCAGAGAAATATCTACATAATAAAATTAGTAGAGTTGATTTACTAGATTCAAATAGAATGATATGTTCTTCAATCATAGAATAAGTTTTCTTTGTAAGTACTCGCACTTCAGCCAACAAAAGAAGCCCTCAAAATCTGTAAAGCAGAAGTAAATAGACCAGGTTATTTAAACACCATGCAATAAAGCCAGAAATTATGAACAGAGAAGAAATTAGCAACAAACTATCCTAAAGAATTCTGTGGTCAGAGACAAAACACTTGCTGACAGGCTCTAAAATGTAATTAATATAACTAAAACATGAAATATTAAAAAAAAAAACCTCTGGCATGTGGCAAATAGTGTATTCAGAGGGAAAATTTATGGCCTTATAGATTTTAATTGCTAAATAAGAAAGAATGAAAATAAATGAATAAATCATGCAACCTCAAGAAGGTAGAAAAGAGGGGTCCCTGGGTGGCTCAGTCGGTTAAGTGTCTGCCTTCAGCTTGGGTCATGGTCCTGGAGTCCTGGGATCGACCTGCTTCTCCCTCTGCCTGCTGCTCTCCCTGCTTGTGCTCTTTCTCTCTTTCTCACTCTTGCTCTCTCTCAAATAAAAAAATGAAATCTTTAAAAAAAAAAATGAAGGTAGAAAAAATCCTTTGGTAGTCTAGCTTCCCCCAAAAGCAGAACACAGGACAGAGGTTTGTGTGCAGGCAGTTTACTTGGGAATGTATTCCAAGGGTAGAGTGAAAGACAAGGGGAGTGAGAGCCAATACAAGGATGCATTGTCAGGCTGGCCTGTCCATAGGCAACTGGTGCTCAGTCTTGCAGGATCTTTGAGGAGCCTTGGAATTTCATGTAGGAGACTGAAGGGGAAAACATTTGTCCATTGACCTCTGTCCCCTGTTAGTCATGGGTGTTCTCACAGGCATTGACTCCTCTCTGCCTTTCAGGACCTAGCAGGTGTCCATAGGTATCTGCAGATGTCCCCCACAGGATACCAGAGAAGCCTCAGGGCAGGAATCAGCCATATGTGGTATAGATCCTTGAGGATGCATTGGTAGGTTATACCTGCGCAAAGCTGGTCAAAGTCTCTGGCACTGGACTGAGACCAGAGGATTTGGAAGGGAACAGAAGGTGTACCTCTCACAGAGGTAGAGCTTTTCCAGAGCTAAAGAAACAAAGAAAGCAGAACTTAATGAACTAAATGAAAATAGAAAAGAGTGGTGTCCTAAATAAATAGAAAAATTTGTTCTTTAAAAATAAACATGAACAAACCATTGTTCAACTTAACTTTATTAGTCTGCTCAGGCCACCATAACAGAATACCATAGACTGCATGGCTCAAACAACAGAAATTTATTTCTCACAGTTCTGGAGGTGGAAAGCCCAAATTTAAGGTGCCAGAAAATTTGGTTCTTGGCGAGGGCTCTCCTTGGGTTGCAGATGGCTGTCTTCTCACTATGTCTGCATGTGGTGGAAAAAGAACTCTGGTGTCTCTTCCTCCTTTTTATAAGGGCACCAGCCTTATCAGAGTAGGGCCCCACATTTATGGCTTTGTTTAACCTTATTACCTCCTCACAGGTCCTATATCCAAATATAGTCACATTGGGGGATAATACTTCAACCTATGAATCCTGGGGGGACATGTTCCATCTGTAACATTAACAAAGGGGAAAGGGTGTAGAAAGCACATATATTCAAAAGTGGGAAAGGCAAAGTGGCTCCAGATATGGAGGAAATGGAAAGAATCATGAACCTGTGTTTTCCACAACTCTACACTCAAGTTGAAATCCTAGAAGACAAAGATGATATTTTGGGAAAACACATATTTTCAAGACTGACTTTGGGAAAAGTAAAAACCTGAAAATAAGCGGTCCAAATGTTTTGAAGACAGTGAACAAGGTGTGCTGGGTCATGCGACCCTAGATGATATAGTGATCCCCTCTCGCTGGGAGCTGAGGCTCTGGCTTCTTCACTATCAGAGGGCTAGAGAACATGAGGAGGCAGCCTGGGACCTCAAAGGTAAGCCTCGGCCATGCAGGAGGCTGGCTGCCCAAGATCTCTACAGAGATAGTGGGGTTCTTGAGAACACTCAGCTTTGTGAGGGAGCAGGCAGGATGTAGAGGAAAAGCTGTTTTCTCCAGCTCTCAGGGGCCTGACTCAGGTCTCTGTGCTGGGGCCACAGCCCTGCCAGCCTGGCTTCTGCAGTGTATCGAGGGTGATGCTTGTTTAGAGAAAAACAAGTAAGTCCAAGATCTTGGTAACATTCTCTTTCTTAAGCTGAATTGTTGCTATGTGGGTCTTTGTTTTATTATGCTTTAGGCCCTGAGTACATTTTATGTCTGCTCTTATGTGTGTGACATGTGTCAGAATTGTGAAATCCTAGTGTTCCTGGCAATGAGTATCAGTGCCATGGCCGGGAGGGGTCCTGGGCACTGAGCCAGTGAACGGATCGCCCCCTTCTTCCTGTGGCAGCTCCCGTGGCACTCCTATCTGGACACCGGCTGCCTGCGCCTCACATCTGTGAGGGGCTGTGTTGTTCCTCCTGGCACGGGGCTCACCTCACACTTGTCTCTCTCTGTTTTTCCTCAGCTCCAGCCCTTCTCTGAGAGGGGGAGCAGGTGATGGCAGCCATGCTCCTGACAGCCTGGCCCCAGGTGAGCTGTGGCTCCTTCAGCTCTTCCTCTGAACAGTTTCACATTGAAGAAAACTGAGAAGGGAAGCTGGTGAGCTTTGTGATGGAAGCTGGAGGGGCCTTCCTCACTTCCGCCTGGATCTTGTGGGAAGAGCGGTGATGTGAAGGGATGGAAGCAGCCAGAGAGGGTCCCTGAAGGCAGGAGTGAAGTGGTCTGCACACCGAGGTTCTTTGCTTCTCGGGTGAATAGGGGACGTGGAAGCTGCCCATGGAGGATGCTCTGTGCATGGATGTGAATGGAGGGGGATCGCAGAGGATTAGGATGCCCAGGGACCGGGCTGTAGGTGAAGAGGAGTAGTAGGACCAGATCTTCACAAAGAGTGGCTATGCCTCTAATTTGGTGGGGATGGCGAGATGAGAGGAGTGGGGTCGGGAGAAGGAAAAAGGAAGTCCTATGGGACAGGATGTCTCATTGTGTCCTGGAGAGGCTTTCAGGGCTTGGGTGCAGGGGCTCCAACTTTAGGTCTCTGATAAGAGCTCTAGACCTTCCCCCGCTCAGGAAAATAAGCATGCAAACCAAATTCTCCATACAATTTCAGGGACTTCACGGACCCCTGAAGCGCATCCATGGACCTCCATGGACTACAGGTTGGGAATAATCATAGTCACAGTAACTCCAGTAACATTGTTTGAGGCTTGCTGCACTGCAGGCACCATACTGAGCCCTTGCATGGATCGCTCAATCCTGACACCTGCCCTCTGAGATAGGTGCTGTGTTGTGCTCATTCTGTCACAAGAGACATGAAGGCAGAGGGGAGTAGAGTGCCTTGCCCAAGGTATACAGCCTGTGTTTGATTCTTAACTGCTCATCCCTGTGACATGTGTGCAACCCGTGAAGTTAACATGGTCAGAGTTGTGATGGCTTTCAAGGGAATAATTTTTAGGGGTGATTCAAAAAGAAGCTGACCACTTCAGAAAGAATTCCATTGGTCCAGGTGTGATGTGGGCTTCATCAAGGAAAGTAGTTGTTAAAGAATCCAATTCAAGTAATGCTTAACATAAAGATCTTTAGGATGTTGAGAGTCAAAGGGTTGGGGGTAGGGTAAGGGAGAGGGAGGAGTCAGGAACAATCACCAGGTTTCTGGCTGAGATTGCCTGCACAGATGGTGGGGGATGTTTGAATTCAGGAGGTGGCGCCAACTTACTAGGGTAAAGGGTGGTGGTGGCGGCAGTGAAGGCATTTAATATTGTTCAGAGAAGTTCCTTGACGCCTCCAAGGGCACAGATGAGTGACTTGCAGACTCACCCAGAGGTTGGACTAGAATTGTTGCTGGGTGGAGGTCAGTGGGAGGAAGCAAGACAGATCCTGGCAGAGAGGAATTGAGGGCATACCCCTGCCAGTGCGTCCCCAAGGTTGTTACAAAAGACTGAGGGGGGCAGAGAGAGAGAGAGCGACCAGAGGCTGCAGCTGCCCGAAAGGGAGCCATCAGCCCTGATGCAGAGCCTGTGCTGAGCGCATGGTGTAGTGATGCGAAGAGGGGCATCTGGAAGAGTGGCTGAGTGGCTGGCCAGTGGGAAGGCTGATCTCCCCTTTTTCCTGAACCTCTAGGATAAACAGTGAGTTCTTGGGTAAAGTTGGAAAGGACGAGAGGCATGAATGGGAGAGGGTAACAGAAAATGTTGGATTTTCAGTAAGACGCCTCTGGAAGCAGAATGGGCTGCTGCCCCCACCATAGCCAGTCAGGGCAGTGCTGAGCTGCTGGAGGTGCTCAAGCAGCCCCACAGCCCTTCGTAGCAGGGGCAGTGACGGGAGTCAGGAGACAGACGGGGGCTGGACCAGATGGAGGCCATAGCTGTTCTCCAGGGGTGGCTGGAGGTTTACAGGTGAGGGGGGCAGGATGGAGAAGCCAAGATCTCAAGTGAAAATGCTGGTGGGTTGGTCCTGAGCTGCATCTGCCACTGAGGACGAGGCCTAACTGAAAGAATGGAGTTGCTTTGGGGGAACTTGATATGGGAATTTTTTTTCTGTCATCCCAACTTAGGATATCTTTTATAAAAGTAAAATATGGCATGAGATTCCCTGCCATGAGAGAAGTCAGATATTCTTCATTGTTTACTTTCCAGGTGCTATTTCTCAAACCTTTCCCCTTGTTATTAATTCTGTGCTCTTCACAAGCTCCCTCCCCAAACCCTTATACTGCCCTCTGCCCCTCACTTAGGGCCTGAGCCATGGAATTGGCCCTAGGGCAGCAGGAACCTGTTGTTTCAGAAGTCGGTGACCTTCGAGGATGTGGCTGTGTACTTCACCCAGACGGAATGGGATGGCCTGTCCCCTGCACAGAGGGCCCTGTACAGGGATGTGATGCTGGAGAATTATGGGAATGTGGCCTCCTTGGGTAAGGCCTCTCTCCCCCTGGGACCCAGACTCTGCCAGTTGGGGTTTCCTGGCTTATTGCCCCCTAACAGGTTGCAGGTGGGGTCTCTGGTAATCCTTTACTGAGTGGGAACCCCAGGGGCTGAGATTCCTAATCCCCCTTGAGTCAGGGGTTGCTGGGAAGGGTGAACCTCAAGCCCTTTTTGGGCCAGTACAGGACTTGGCTGGGACTGGTGTGCGCTCTTTATCCTCCCTCTAGAAGTTGTGGTTTAGACACTGTGGAAAAAAGAAACTTATTGTTTCACACAGCATTATTTTCAGGTTCACCCTCACCTGACCTGCATATCTTGAGGTCTTCTGGGCCCAAGTCTGGGCCATTCCCAACTCCTCCCACACCTTCTCAGGACCTCTCCCCCCACCACACACATATACCTTCCAAGCTCCCCATCTTTCCAATTGCCCCCATCCCCGACTTCCCCATAGTCATTAGGCGTGGGATCCCCTAGCGCTCTTATTTTGCCTTCCCATTGCCAAGACAATCTGAGGAGATGCTTAGGAACTCATCTGTGGGGGATTATTCACCTGTCTCTCCTATTTCTTTTCCCCTAAACAGGATTTTCTCTTCTCAAACCTGCTGTGATCTCACAACTAGAGGGAGCAGGTGAGCTGGGGGGCCCATCTCCACTGGTGGATGGAACAGAAACAGGCCCCCAGGGCCTCTGGACTGGTAAGGGACACACAGGTTGCCTATTACGGGGGAAAGTTTAACTCTTTAAGAAGAAGGTCAACTTAAGCAACATATAAGCATGCCACATTTATGACCCAGCCGTACAGAGTAAAATTTAAATAAATGCTGATGATTTATAGAGATAGGTACAGTTGAGACCTATTTTTGCAGTTTGCTGTTTCTTTCTGATTCCAAGAACAGATCTTTTTTCATTCTAATTCTTTCCAGGCCTAGTTTTAGAATTCTGCCTTTCTCAAATTAATGGATAGTGTTTTTGGGTCCTTGCTGCTTCCCAAGCATTGTGCACCTAATGTGATGGATGGAGAATTAACAGTCTTTTTATACAGAAAGGTAGAATAGCCTGGCAGTTAAAAGTACAGTCTTTGGAGTAGACTTGACTGAGGTCCAATCCCAACTGCTATTATATGACTTCCTAGTTGTGACTTTAAGCAGGTCACTTCTTTAAGAGTCAGTGTTTTTATCCCTGAAAATGGAATAAAATACCTAACATATAGTGTGTGCTCAATGAAGTATTAGTTTTTATTTATTTATTTATTGGTGGAGACAGCTATATATAGTAAAATGTGGGAAATAAGGTGGAAGGGAGAAAGTGCTCTCAATTCAGTGCTTCTCAAATGATATGCAAATGAATCACCTGGTTGTCTTGCAAATATGCATGTTGTCATTTAGTAAGTGTGGTTTAGGGCCAAGATTCTGCATTTCTATTTTCAGGTTCTGCCAGTGTTTCTGGTTCCTAGACCATACTTGAAGTAGCAAGTTTCTCGTTGGCTTAAGCAGAGTAGTTGCCAGGTGATTTCCCATTTCTTGTGATTTCCCATTTACTTACTGCATTTGTGGTGCATAGATTCTCTTGTATTCTTTCAACGAACCCTCCTTTTTAAAAAGATAGTTTCAGGGCACCTGGGTGGCTCATTTGGTTAAGTGGCTGCCTTCAGCTCAGGTCATGATCTCAGCGGGGAGCCTGCTTCTCCCTCTCCTCTGCCTGCCGCTCCCCCTGCTTGTGCTCTCTCGCTCTCTCTCTGTCAAATAAATAATAAGATCTTTAAAAAAATTTTTTTTTTAAAAATAAAAAGATAGATTCAGTGGATTTTTGTTGGTCATTCAACCAGATGAAGGGAAAAGAAATGATGTTGTGGAGCTCCTCAAAGGAGTCTGGATTTCATTTCGTAGTCAGCAGACAGTACTGAAATTTGAAGTTTTCGAATAACCATCATGATCTAAACTGAGAATGGAAACATTAGTGTGTGTAGGTTAATTGGAGCAGGAAATCAAATGGCTTTTAGACAGACAGAAGGGGAAGGTAGGTACAGGGCACAAGCCCATGTCAGCAGAGTTGACTCTTAAAAGAACTTTCAGAAGGCCCATCCGGTGACTTCTGGTTAAATCTTATTTGCTGGAACTGTCTTATGGCCCCCCCTACTGCAAGAGAGTGTGGCAAATACAGTTTTTAGCTGTAGTTTCTACTGCTACCTCAAAAACATTGGAGAACGTGTTAGTAAGGAAAAAAGGGAGAATGGATATTGGTTAAGTAACCAGTAGCATCTGCCACACCATAGAATTTGGTAAATAGAAGGTCACTAGTATAGAAAAATAGGCAAAGAATATAAGTGTTTGATCCACATGAGAAGTACAAATTTTAATCAGTGTGAAAAATCTTCACCCTCAGTAGGAACCAATGAGATACAAATTAAAACAGTGATGCTCCACCTAACACATTTGACATAGGTAGGCTGTGTCCGAGGACCCAGGAGGGGTCCTGCAGGACAAGCCAAGAGGGTCCTTGGCTTTGAGTAGGATAGAAACCAAATGTGAGCCGGGAGGAAGTGAGAGCGGAGTTTATTGAATAGCATGAGTGATAGAATATAGCAGATGGAGTGTTTGGGAGATTCAGAAAGGAGAAGAGAGTGAGTCTCTCCTTTGCTTGGGCTCTAGGGTTTTTATTGAGGATTGGGATCTTGGGATCTGGTGTACATGTCCTCTTCAGACACCCAGGAACTGGTTAGAAGAAAGACAAGTGTCCAGGTGTCCTCCATAAAGCACTTATTGCCTGGAGCCAGGGGGTTTTGGCATCAAGAGGTCTAGAGTCCGTTGTCTAGAAAACGTATATGACAGGGGCGCCTGGGTGGCTCAGTTGGTTAAGCGACTGCCTTCGGCTCAGGTCATGATCCTGGAGTCCCGGGATTGAGTCCCACATCGGGCTCCCTGCTCAGCAGGGAGTCTGCTTCTCCCTCTGACCCTCTTCCCTCTCGTGCTCTCTATCTCTCATTCTCTCTCTCAAATAAATAAATAAAAAAAAATTAAAAAAAAAAAAAAAAGAAAACGTATATGATGGCCCTGCTTGGTCATTCCTTAGGTGTTATCACCCATGCCGGAAGACCCCAAAAAGTCATTAACTCCTTGACCCTTATAAGAAGGACATACATCATTTGTACTATAAGGCGTGTACAAGGTGGGAGGGGGTACAGGTCCTGGCAAGAATAGAAGCAGGAAAATAAGCAAAAAACAGTTTTTCGTGGAGTTCCTTCAGTTTCCTTGGCTCGTACAGAGAACAATTGTATTGATGGAGAGAATACACCAAACTGGAATAGACTTTTGGGGAATGAATGTGAATCAGTAGTCTTTCTAGAAAGTACTTTAGCAATACATAGCAAGAGCCTTTTAAAAGTTTGTCCTTGATAGCCTGGATATTCCCTCCTAGAGTAGCCTAATCAGCTAATCAGAGATACAAAGATGTGCATGCACAAAAGTTCATCATAATTTTATATACTAAAATGTTGGAAATAACCCAGACATTGAGTATGGAGAGAATTGGTTAAATTAAGATACCTCTGCAGGATGGAATGCTATTTAGCAATTTAAAAAATATTTTTACAGACTATCTAAAGAAAATGGAAAATTGTCATTATTAGTGTTAAGGAAGAAAAATATTTTCAGTTTTGAATAAAAACATTTTTAGAAAAATGATTGGAAGGAAAATCTTTGGGGGAGGAGGTACATCAGAAGATTAGATGTAGTTGTTAGGTGGTTGTATTTCACGTAAATTGAATTTTCTTCTTTGTACTTTTCTGATATTAGGGATGACTACTATTTTTAAAATTGGGAAAAGACCAACAGTTTTGAAAATGCTTGCTAGGGAAATCCAGGTCACTTGGGTCTCTTGAGGATGATTAGAATGAAATACTGGGGCAGGGGGCTTATTACCTGTGGTCGAGGAGAGATGAGAGATGAAAAATAGAGGCAGCATTTTGAGGTCAGTTTTGAGAAATTTGGGAACAAAAGATCCTTAGCTCTATTGGGACTGTATGGATTCCAAAAAGAATGTTAGGGACAACGGCTCCTGGGTGGCTCAGTCGCCTGGCTCAGGTCATGATCTTGGGGTCCTGGGGTTGAGCCCCATGCCAGGCTCCCTGCTCAGCGGGAAGCCTGCTCCTCCCTGTCCCTCTGCCTCTCCCCCTGCTTGTGTGGTTTCTCTCTCTGTCAAATGAATGGATAAAATCTAAAAAAAAAAAAAAGAACATTAGGGACTGACCAATTTCAGGATTGAGGGAAGAGGAAGATGGCTTCTCTAAGCAGAGAAGAAGGTGAAGGAGGAATTTTGGAAAGCCATGAGTTTAAGTTCAAAGAAAAGAAAAAAGTTCTTTCCCTTTTACCTCCTGGTGCCATAAACGCTTTTTTTTTTTTTTTTTTTTACAGATTTTATTTATTTGACAGAGAGAGACACAGCGAGAGAGGGAACACAAGCAGGGGGAGTGGGAGAGGGAGAAGCATGCTTTCCATGGAGCAGGGAGCCCAATGCGGGGCTTGACCCCAGGGCCCTGGGATCATGACCTGAGCCGAAGGCAGACGCTTAATGACTGAGCCACCCCGGCGCCCCTTAACTATGATTCTTTATTCCTTTTACCACAGTTCTTTTCTTTTCTCTAACATGGATCTTACATGATATTTTCTGTTTTCTGTTTTTTTAATAGTAGATATTGATGTCCAGACTGACAATAATTTGATAAAGGAAATGTATGAAGAAAAACATAATACATCATTTGAACTTCAGAGGGACTTTTCCCAGGACACAGACTTTTCAGAAGCCTGTATTCTAGAGAAACAGCAGGAAGTCCATTTAGTAGGAAGCATAAAGAAAGAAAACTGCGGCGTCATTGACGGAATAGTGAAAGACGACAGCAGCCCTGGGGCGGAGTATTTCTTTAGTCAGAGTCCAAACTTGGGTCAGTGTTACACCGTCAGCACTGGAGAGCAGCACCCTGAACTTATAGGATTGGAGAGAGCCTTCAGCTTTGACACAAAACTTATTCAGCATGAAATAATTAATTCGGGGGAAAGACCTTTTAAATGTCAAGAATTAGTGGAAACCTTCAGGTGTAACCCTCAGCATCAAGATGGCTGCACTGGGGAGAAGCCCTATCAGTGTAAGGAGTGTGGCAAAGCCTTTAGCATTAATGCAAAATTAATTTGGCATCAGAGACTTCACAGTGGGGAGAAACCCTTCAAATGTGTGGAGTGCGGGAAAAGCTTCAGTTCCAGTTCCCATTATATCACCCATCAGAGCATCCACAGCGGGGAGAAGCCCTATCAGTGTAAGGTGTGTGGCAAAGCCTTCAGCGTCAACGGGAGTCTAAGTCGGCATCAGAGAATCCATACGGGAGAGAAGCCCTATCAGTGCAAGGAGTGTGGAAGTGGCTTTAGCTGCAGTTCTGCATACATCACACACCAGAGAGTCCACACTGGAGAGAAGCCTTACGAATGCAGTGACTGTGGGAAAGCTTTCAATGTTAATGCAAAATTGATTCAACATCAGAGAATCCACACTGGAGAGAAACCTTACGAGTGTAATGAGTGTGGGAAAGGCTTCAGGTGCAGCTCCCAGCTGCGGCAGCATCAGAGCATTCACACCGGGGAGAAGCCCTATCAGTGTAAGGAGTGCGGGAAAGCTTTCAGTAATAATGCAAAACTCGTCCAGCATCAAAGAATCCACACAGGTGAGAAACCCTATGAGTGTACCGACTGTGGAAAAGCCTTTAGTGTCAAAGGGAAGTTAATCCAGCACCAGAGAATCCACACGGGGGAGAAACCCTATGGGTGTAACGAATGTGGGAAAGCCTTCAGGTGTAACTCCCAGCTGCGGCAGCATCTGAGAATCCACACCGGGGAGAAGCCCTATATATGTAATGAGTGTGGAAAGGCCTTCAACGTTAATGCAAAACTAATGCAGCATCAGAGGATTCACACTGGGGAGAAACCCTTTGAATGTAATGAGTGTGGGAAATGCTTTACTTCTAAAAGAAACCTACTTGATCATCACCGAATCCATACTGGTGAAAAGCCTTATCAGTGTAAGGAATGTGGAAAAGCCTTCAGTATCAATGCCAAACTAACCAGGCATCAGAGAATCCACACTGGGGAGAAACCTTTCAAATGTATGGAATGTGAAAAAGCATTTAGCTGTAGTTCTGACTATATTGTACATCAGAGGATCCATACTGGAGAGAAACCCTTTCAGTGTAAGGAGTGTGGAAAAGCCTTCCATGTTAATGCCCATTTAATTCGGCATCAGAGAAGCCACACTGGGGAGAAACCCTTTAGATGTGTGGAGTGTGGCAAAGGGTTTAGCTATAGTTCTGACTGTATTATACATCAGACTGTCCATACTTGGAAGAAACCCTTTGTGTGTAATGTGTGTGGGAAAGCCTTCAGGTTTAGCTTCCAACTTAGTCAGCATCAAAGTGTCCATAGTGAAGGAAAATCGTAATGAGAAGGATGTAGAAAACTCTCAAAAGTTAATGAAATGGATCAGGTATCATCAGATTCAACGTGGTAGAAAACCTTGAGGGAAATGAATATGGCATCTTCCCATGGAAACACATCTTTCTCATCTTGCTTTTAAAATCAGGAATGATGACTGGTTAAAAAGTAACAACCAAAAATAAATAGCTTGTCTTATACCAACAACCAATTAGAAAATATGATGAAAGAAAAGATCCCATTCCCAACAGCATCAAGAAAAGTGGCTCTCCTAGGAATAAACCTAAGTATTACACAGGATCTATATGGAGAAAGAAATCTCCATTGAGGGCCACAAAAGGAAAAATAAATGGGGAGAGAGAGAAACCTTGTTCTTGAATTGGAAGATTCATGTAGATACTCACTCTGCCTAAATTTACTTCCCTTTCATTTTTGATACCAAGCATGCATCACTTTTGTAAAAAGGATAAACAATAAAGATTTCTGTAGAAAGAAAAGATGAGTAAATTTTTTAATTTCATGGGAGAAAAAATATATAAAAAATATATAATATATATAAATATATTAAATATTTATGTTCTTAAGAATCCCAAATAAAGTTAAAAGATAAAGCACAAAAAGAAATACTGTTGTAAAATTTATGATATAAATGTTTAATATGTAAAGATAGGTTTTATAATCAAGAGAAAAGTAATCTAATAAAACCCAGAAAAATGACATTAGCAGGCATTTAAAAAAAATCAAAATAATAGATGTTCAGTCACCGTCCTCTAAAGATTGAAAATGAAGTATGCACACAGTTGTACACAAGGAGCCCTCAGAACGCTCTTCCACAGACCCTCCCATAGACACACATAGTCACACACAGTGCACCCTATGTACACAGAGACTGTATACCCCCATAGACCACTGACACCAGCTCCTGCATGTTCTGTAGCTTGAGTAACCAGTGTTGGCTAGGGGTGCTATCTGAGTATTTCAAAGGAGCCATCCCTGTTAGAAAGCTAACAAGTATAGGACCTCAGCAGAGTGTCTGGGGGATGCCACTGTGTGTAAGTCCCACTACTCTGCCCCCAGGCTCCTGGGAGCTGAGCAAGCGTGGAGGCCAGACCCTGGAGCCCCAGAACATAGGAAGGAGCACGGCCTTTCTTCCCCCTCATTATCTGACCCTGATTCTCTGCGGTGGCAAGACCAAGGCGGGGATTCTAGGAGGACAGAACCTACTGTCTGGGATCTGCTACCAGAGTCCTCTGTGACCATGGTCTCTCTGCGTCTCAGGCTCTTGTCAGGGCAGGGTGAGAGCTCGTCCCAGAACTCAAGGCTCTTCCCACCCAGATGGTCCCTGAGGGTTTTCTCCCTCTCTCTAGGTTTGTTACTGTCCAGGACAGCTGCTCTGTTCAGATCCTAAGGACAAGAGGAGGAAGAAAGACACCTGTGGAGCCTCATGAAGTCACACGGCTCCATCAGCCAGTAGTCCTGCCATCTTGTATCCTCAGTGCTCCTTACTCCAGCCCAGGGCTGTCTGGGTCCAGTGGGAGCCTTACCAGGAAAAAAGGAGCCATGGCACTGGAGACCTCTGCACCCTTGCAAAAGCTCTTCTCTTTTTCTGAACTGGAGCTGTGGGCCTGGAAGGGCCCAATTAAATAAAGCCTTTCTCCCTTAGTCCCAGTGTGTTCCGTCCCTACAGCACACCCTTCCAGCCTGGCCTGTCACACTGGAAGCGCCCTCAGAGAGCATCTGGTCCTGCCCTGTCCAGGTCAGAGGAAAACGTGGCTGTCCGTGGGCGCCCAGCAGGTCAGGGGACAGCCTGGGGTGAAAGGCCAAAGCTAGACAAGGCTCCAGTGTCATCTGAGGGAAGAAGAGGCCTGGCACAGCTACTCCTGGGCTGGTACCCCTCTCCTCCTGGCACTGGGGCTGGGGGTTGTGAGCAGAGGCTTCTGGACCTCTGCCTCTGAGGTCTCCGCTCTCGCCACACCACAAGCCCACGCTGTCTGCTAGCCTGTCTCTTAATAGGGAACTGAGGACACCCTTCCCCTTCCACAGGCCAGGGCTGACCAATGCTGGGGAACCAGAGATGAGGCGAACCTCGGCCTTTGCCCCGAGTCCCCAGTCCACGGGCTGGGACAGCTCCCTGCAGTCCCTTCCCTCTGCTCTCAGGCCCCCGGCGCCGCACAGACCACGTGGTCCCCAGCAAATCCAACTCGTCCCAGGGCTCCCGGGGCTCTAGCCCTGGGTCTGAGCCCGCTCTGCTGGGCCCTGGCTCCTCCGCCTGTCGTCGGGCTGCCGGCGGCCCGAGCCTCCCTTCTGCTCCAGCTCGCCCTGCCACTGCCTCCCAGGCCCGGGTGGCTCCATTGATCCTGCAGTGTGGCCCCCATCTCCTGCCGGCCACGGAAATCCCACCCGTGCTCAGCCGAAGCCCAGCCTCCAGGAAACCCCCGCGCCGCTCGGCCCACTTCCTCCAGCCAGCCACGGTAAGGGGCAGTTGGGCCACCCGTTCCGCGTGTCTGCCACCCGCCTTTAGCCTGCGAGCCCTTGGCCCACGTGGTCCCAGGGTGGGGACCCGAGGCTCTGGATCCCAGCCGCCCTGGGCCACCGCGCGCGGCGTACGGAGCCAGGTGACGGCCTTCTGCGGCTGCCTCACTCCCCCGCCGCCTTGGGTGCGCGCCTTCCCGCCCTGGCACTATTTCGGCCTCGGTGCGAGGAGGGGCAGGGGTGTCGGGCCTGCGCGCGTCCAGGGCCCTGCGACCTGCACTTGGGCTCGAGAAGCCATTAGCAGCCAGTGGCCGCCCGCCGCGGCCCCCTGCTGCCCCCGGTGGCCGGTTCGCTCCCTGCAGGGCGCGAGACGCCCTGGGCCGCCCGCCCCGCGGGGCTGGAAGCCCGGAACCGCCACTGGGAGGCCGCGGGACGGATCCTCCCTGCCCTGATCCCGGGGGGTATCCCTGGAGCAGAGTCCTGGGGCAGCCGGGTCTGAGCCCTTGGTGGAACACTCTCCTGGGGAATCCGCGGGGAGTGGGGGTGGGGTGCACATGACCGAAGACGCAGGGCGGGGTCCGGAGGACCCTTAGAACGCTTAGGCCAGCGCATTGCAAACTTTCCCCTCACCCCCCACCCCCGGAAATCTTAGAGGCGTGTATTGTAAACTCCTAAGTAGAGCCGCTGTGGAAGACTGTGAGGGGGTGGGGGGCAGTTGCCATTGGGCCCGAGAGTCAAGGGCAGCGGTTTTGCTTAAGGATGCCTTGATCCAGGACGGAAATCGGAATGCGTTCCACAGAATCCAAGCGTTCCACGCAGGGCCACCCACGGGTGAGGGGTGGGTAGGAAGAACAAGAGATGAGGGAGATGGGCTCCACAGCCGGGATCTCCTGGGAAAGGCACGTGGTAGAGAACCGTGAGTTGGCCTCCCCATGACAGTGAGGGAGGAGAGAGTCAGTGCAGGGACCAGGGCAACAGGGAGCAGGGGCCTAGCCACGCTTTGCCGTGTCCCTTCTGCCCAGAGGGTTCTCCCTGCCTACACACTGAGCTCAGCCAAACATCACATGCTCCTCGCTGGCCTCCCGGGTCTCCTTAGCCAGCACTGGGTGGCCCGTGCGGTGTCCTCCACCAGCTCTCTGAGCGCTCTTCCTGAAGCTGCGGCTTTACGGCCTTACCCTGGGGACCACGAAGTCACTGGGGGGTGGGAGTGGGGGCAGCTCGTTGGGCTAGGCAGGACCTTGCTAGTTGAATAGTTTCAGTTGAGCGGATACTGTTAGTGAGTCAGTAAGGGAAGAAGTGTTTGGTGCCTGTGTTTATATGGTTTATACATCTTCATCAGCAACGGATGTCCAGGTGAATTCCCCGGGTTGGGGAGCCATGGGATGAGCGCCCTGGCCTATGAGCGCAAACGTCTTAGAATTTGTTTGCTCTCCAGTTGCCCACCAGAGGGCGCTCCACCCCCAAATAAAGATCTGGAGGCTGAAGTTTGAGGTCCAGCTAGGATGATTCAAGCTCTCTGGCCTCAGTGTTTGCCCACCGGGTGCTGCTGCGCACCCCCCACCCTCCGCCCCAAGCTTTCATTTGACTATAGCTGGCCAGGGTGTCTGGGGGCAGGGGCACCTGCAACTGGCTGGCTCTTCTCCTCGGGGAGCAAAGGTTAAGAAAACCACCAGCTAAACTGGTGTTTGCTGGATGAAGGAGGAGGGAAAAATGCTGTGGGAACTTGTGAGGCTAATAACTCATGACACAGCTGTTTTTTTTTTCTTTATTGTGGTAAAATACTCATAACATAAAATTTACCATTTTAGCTATCTCAAAGTGTCTAATTCAGTAGCATTGGGTACGTTCATACTGTTGTGTACCCATCACCACTATCTAGTTTCAGGTCTTTTTCATCACCCCAAAAGGAACCTCCTATTAAGAAATCTCTCCCCCACCCCCAGCCCCTGGCAAGCACTAGCCTGCTCTCCGTCTATATGGGCTCGCCTATTTCTGGATATTTCATGTAAATGGAATCCGGTAATATGTGGCCTTTGTGTCTGGCTTCTTTCACTTAGTGTAATGTTTTCTTTTCTTTTTTTTTTTAAGATTTTATTTATTTATTTGACAGAGAGAGACACAGTGAGAGAGGGAACACAAGCAGAGGGAGTGGGAGAGGGAGAAGCAGGCTTCCCGCTGAGCAGGGATCCCGATGCGGGGCTCGATCCCAGGACCCTGGGATCATGACCTGAGCCAAAGGCAGACGCTTAACGACTGAGCCACCCAGGCACCCCTAGTGTAATGTTTTCAAGGTTCATCCATGTTGTAGCATGAATCGGTACTTCTTTCCTTTTTATTGGCGACTAATAAGTCATTGTGTGGATATACCACATTTCACTTATCCAACCATCTGTTGATGGACACTTGGGTTGTTTGCACCTTTTGGCTGTTGTGAATCATGCTGCTATGAACATTGGTGTACAAAAAGCTGAGCCTCTGTTTTCAATTCTCTCAGGTATATACCTAGGGGTGGAATTGCTAGGTTATGTGGTAATTCTGTGTTTTACTTTTTGAGGAACTGCCAAACTGTTTTCCACAGGGACTGCACCATTTCACATTCCCACCAACAGGGCCTAGGCATTCCAGTTTCTCCACATCCTCACCAACACTTATCATTTGCTGTAATTTTTGTTGTTGTTATATGCACCCTAGTGGGTGTGAAGTGGTATCTCATTATGGATTTGATTTATATTTCCCTGATGACTACTAATGTTGGGCATCTTTTAGCTGGTGTCCAGACTCTGATCTTGCGCCCTTCTATCCACTCAAGAGCAGGCCAAGTCCTTTCAAAACCCAAGTCTGATCCTGTCTTCCCCAGCTCAGAACCCCTTGGGGCTCCCCACCCACTCTCCCTAGACTAGAACACACATCCCTACCCTCCCTGCCCCCACAACACACTCTCTGTGCTCCAGCCCCTAGAAAATTCTCCCAGCTGTTAAAATATACTTCTCCAAACCTTTGCATCTGCTATTCTTTTGGGGGGCAGTTGCCATTGGGCCCGAGAGTCAAGGGCAGCGGTTTTGCTTAAGGATGCCTTGATCCAGGACGTCTCTAGGTTTGTTACTGTCCAGGACAGCTGCTCTGTTCAGATCCTAAGGACAAGAGGAGGAAGAAAGACACCTGTGGAGCCTCATGAAGTCACA